GAATTTTACCGGCAGTTGGCCTAGAAAACTCACACCTGGCCTCTAGGCCACCGGATCCCACTTTGACTTTTTGATGCCGTTTTTCTCAATGAAGGATTTTTCAAAATTCTTTCTTTGTTTTTATGGGAATCTACATGGATTTCTGCACAAAATAAACCAATAAAATTTTTCACCGCACACCACCTTTAAATTTATAAAACAAAAACTCACTGCTAGAAAGAATGAAGTGATTGAAAATGATAAATGAAACAATCCAACCAAGACGGCGTATCTATTGATTTCAAAAAACGAAGCGAGCAAAGAACAAAGAGCCAGAAAGTATAGTAAACCGAAAATCTGAAATTATAATTAGTAGTCAATTACGCCCTGTAATGTGAATCAAGTACTCACAAGTGGATAGAGTCTTAATTCTTTTACAATTATACTTCCAAACAATGTCCAAACCGAAAAAGTCATACCAAAGAATCCCAAAATCACATAATTCAAATGTTGAACTTCTCGCTTTGCTTCTTCCGACACTCTTGTTGAGCAACCACCTACTAAACAAATGAGAAGTGGGTAGAAATCGAGAAGAAATAGTAATTGTTTTGTTTTTTGAACAACAGGTAAAAATCATTCTTATAATAAATACCGTAAAACCTGTAATAGAAGGGCCCTCTAGCTTCCAACTTTGAGCCTGTAAATCTCGATTCCTGTGAAAGATATCAAAAAGTGGTCAACTGTTGAATTGTTTATCATAATATCACCAATATTTTACTAGTTGACACATTTTTAAATATTTTTATTAGTTGACACATTTTTAAATATTTACAGGAATCGATATAAATTGTCTTAAAGTTGACAGTGTGGGTGCCCTTCAGCTGTTTGAAGCGCCGGAGGCAAACAGGCTGGTAATACAAATGCACCCAAGAAAGTATGATAAAATGTAAAATGAGTTAGTCGAAAAAGGCAGAAGATTGGTATAGAACTCGTTGGCAATTGTGAAGAAGAACCAGATTGGATTGAGTAATAAACTTAGAAGACATTTCAGAAAATTTTACAATGTGAAACGAGGTTCCTTTTGAATGGGTCCCATTCGTACAGGAGCGGACCGGTGCATAGGCAAAAAAGGGAAAAGAGGCGGAGCTTACCTCTTCCGTGAGCACGCAGTAATATCGCATCAAAGATATGCTTGAAAAAAACTGTCCATTCGGGGGGTTCTTTTCAAAGAAATGCAATTATAGAGTGTACAGAGAAGAGAAATGATGGGGACGACTCCACTGAGGAGTAAAGAATAACGAGACTGTTTGGAGCTATCTATCGGCAGTTTTGAATTTGAATCCTGATCCTAGACATGGATTTACATCCACAAACTTTAAATACCGTAAAACCTCTAATAGAACGACACCCGGATCGTCCACTTTGAGCCTATATATCTCACTTCTTTTAAAAGATATCAAAAAGTGGTTAACTAGTAAAATGTTTATCAGGATATCAGCAACATTTTACTAGTT